CCACAACAACAACAACAACAATAATAACACAAAACAACCAACAACTAGGTACTGAGCAGATAGAACTTTGTAACTCTAGGGTAGCCACATGTTTGATACGCTCTCTGTTTCTTAGTATGACATTTCAATCGTGCCTGTTTCTGTCCTTATATAACTGAAGTTGAAGAATGTAGCCTTAAGTTATACGGCCTGCTTATAGTTGTTGGTTTTGTTGCTTTGTTTCTTTGGGTTTTTTTTTTTTACATCATTCCAATACAAAACCTTTATATTATTATGGCCTGCACATTGTTTCTGCATTCTCCACTACTGATAATACTGATAGAATTGAATGGTTCATACTTCAGAAGAAACTCTCGTTCTTATGAATTCACTTTTCTTCTTTTGCCTCATTTTTTGTTTTGCTTTTTTTTGTTTTGTTTTGTTTTTATGCTTGACGAATGTTACATAAACTGTATGTTACTCTTCTTGTTCTTACATAGTGACTATTGCGCGCGCACTGACTCTCGATATCTCCACTGTGAGAAAACAATCACATGCATTATAATACTTAATGATACAACGCTAGAACGAAACACGTGATAATAATTAGTTCTTTTTTTCTTTCTTTCTTTCTTTCTTTCTTTCTTTATATGGATTCTAGATTTAACTGCTACGTTTTTTAAAGACTTTTATAAAGACTAAACGGTTGATAATTTTTTTTAGAAATTGGACATCTCTTTTATTTAATTTTTTCAAAACTAAGAGTATGGTAGAGTTCCCAGATCCGATTGAGTATTTCATAAGCCTTTTTTTCTCACACACAACTTCATTTAATGTCTATTAATTTAGGAAAACGTTTCTATAGTAAGCCGTCTCAAGACCACACCATTTAATCTAGAAATTAGCGAGTTTTTCTAGCTTTCTCTCATCTTAAGACAAAAAACCAGGCTATTTGTTTTTAAGGGACCAGTTTTCAAAAGCGGAAATAGCATTGCTATCTATGAAACAATAATTATTTATTCTAAAAACGCCAACTTTGCCTGCACAAACGTGAAACAACCATTACTTAATTTTTGTCTGTGGAATAAATAATGATATTATAATGAGCTTTAAAACTCCTTTCAATGCACTTGCGGCACACACTGTCTATCTCCTGTTTTTAGTTGTTGTTGTAGTTGTTGTTGTTGTTGTAGTTGTTGTTGTTGTTTTTGGTTTTGTTTTGTTATTTTTCCCCGCAGTGCGAACTTTCTTGTTTCATCTAAAGGAAAAGTTCTCACGTTGAAGCCACACATGTGTTCAAATTGTGAATAACGCATAATATTACCTACCTAAGGTCTCAACTGTTTATTTGAAAGTGCCTCTCATCATTCTATAAAAATACCACTTTTTATTATGTCGTGAGCAAAAAAAAAAAAAAAGAATCTTTAAATCATCTAATATATAATTATGTTTATTGTACAATACTTTTTTTTTTCATTTTCTGGTCTATCAGCTGTTACAATGATAAAGCTAAAAGACATGTTCTACTACAAAATAAAGTCAACATTCTCTATCGATGCCTTACATGCAGCTGCTGTCGTTTTATTTTTAGCCTGTATGTTCTGTGTCTGACTTGATGGTTTGTTTCTTGAATTATTATTTCTTTGTTTGTTTGTTTTGTTTTGTTTTGTTTTGTTTTGTTTGTTTGTTTGTTTTGTTTGAGTAAAGATAAGTACGTCGACGCGATAGCGGCCATCTTGTATTAATATGGAAAGAATAAGACAGATCAGATAGACCCGAGGCAGTGAAATTCACCAAATGAAAACTGTTGCGTCCCACATAGATAAAGCTGTCATGGAGGACGCGCCAGTGAGGAGCGGCACTGACGTTTCTCGCGGAATCCAAACTCTTTTCAAGGCCGTCCAAAACTGTCTGTGTCCTTTTTCTCACGTTTCAGTTGTACCAAAGCAGTGCTTCTACTTACGCCTACGGTTTAATGTAGCAAGTGATTCAACCATGGGCACAGATGCGCTCATATCATCAGTGTACGTTAGAACTCCCATTTAGGACAAACGTAACCAAGTCTACATTGTACATGTATTTTTACTAGTAGGATACGAATAAAGTGTTATTGAACGCCGTACTCTTATTAACACTTAAAGACATAATATGATGATAATGGTGATGATGATCCTCATGAAAATGACGACTACAGAACAGCTCGCTGTCCCTTCCCCTCTCCTCATCTCTCTCTCTCTCTCTCTCTCTCTCTCTCTCTCTCTATCTCTCTCTCCCTCTCTTTCTCTCTCTCCCTCTCTTTCTCTCTCTCTTATAGTTTGTCCAGCGTGATCTAGCTATAGACTAAAGGGTTCTGGGCGAAATATGAGGTAAAAATGTCTCTCACGCCTTTAGTATTGTTAGTGGGTCTACCAGCAAGCTCCCATGTCACATCTGATCACGGGAATGACCATTTAGTAAGATTTTGGGCAACGCCTTCCATGTCTATGGAGAATGCATATACGCTTGAAGTTAAAAGGTCTCGTGTAATAGCTTTCTCTATAATGTGGGGTCAAGCAGGCACTTTCCAAAGCTTACACGGATGACAGCGCGGCTATTAAAAGTGCAGCCTCGAGATACTTTCTCTATGTGGTCGCCTTTACACTTACTGTTTCAGCTAAGACGCCGGTGTATTCCATTCTGAGAGACCAATCGGCCCCAGGAGTTATTTGGAGTCAATTTGGTCTTTTCTTATAGAGGATACAATGGTATAATATTTGCAAACTTTGGACATTAACCCATCTTCTAATTGATCTAAATATGGCAACGAGGGTGTAAAACCTGAACTGCTATGGTTTCCAGCCTGACTAAAAACAACAGAGTGTCGCGTGTTAAATTGTGTTGATGGGGGCCTAAAATGTTTACCGCAAAAATACTGGTACTTCAATAGAGTAGGGCAATTTTTCTGCGGTATGTCTCTAGCTGCTCTAAACCGGGATGAAGGGCTAATGGGGAAAATGACATAACATTTCTCGGCTGGGAATTGATGGATCTCATCAGGAAAATGGATCACACTGAGCCGAGAATATTGATGAAGACAATATGATTTGATAATAGCTTCAACTTGCAGGTATATGTGTGTTGGGGTGGGGAGAGGGTTGTCATAGTTTTACGATGGGGGAGCAAAGAATAACACATGCCGTGATACTGCGTGTCACAAGACTAAGAGACAACTATAAGGTGCATTGGTCTGATGGTCTTCCGAAAAGTGCCAGCTGGCGGAAGGTCAACTACCAGACCCCGTGAAAACTGAAAGTTACAGAAACACTGATAAACACGTCTGTTTATTTTTCGGTCTTGGGAGACAGCGGAGCGTCTGCGCCAGCAGAACCAATGAAGGACAGTGGACATCAAGGGGCTAGCCCAGGATAGGGAACGGTGGAAAGTGTTCGTGGTGGCCTATAACCTGATGCAGGGTGAGAAAGGCAGTGATAATGATGAACTGGCGTCTGTGGTGTAGCAGTTAGGTGCTTCAGCGTCGCATGCAGGAGATATAAGTTCGATTCTGGTGTGGGGAAAGTTTTTATTGACTAGCCATCGACTATTGTTGGGACGTTGTATCCCTCTCAGCACGGGTTGGTCCTGAAAGGCAGAATCGATACAGCCTGGGTCCTCAATTATCTAAATTGTGTTGATGGGCGGGGTAGACGTTCTACAGTTATAATTACAATCATAGTCGCATGCTTCAGGCCTTGCTTAAACTATTCTATAAGGCACTGTGCAGAGAGGACGAAGGAGAGGCAGACAGAAGAAGAGATGGGAAGAAAACATGCGATAATAGACAGCCATGGAGTTGGGGTACACACTGAGGAAAGCAGAGAGCCAAAAGGAATGCGGGAGATTTGGTGTCACCTGCCTGTCAGAGGCGACTCAACGGATGACAAACCAATGGGCCATCCTTCCTTCGTAACTTAATTGATTTGATAATCTTCCAGTAATCTAAACCTGAGAATCGGGCCAACTTTTCTAGCCTCTATTGTACATTTTGTCCCTGGTTGGTATTCTCACTATTTCTGAGTACTTCCTTTTGAAAGAATTCAACACTCTACTAAGAGATATGAGTAAGCCATTTCAAAGGTGGCCAATCAGTAAAAGAAAAGAAAGAAGTTTTAGTTTCAGTAAGAGTTTTACGACATGTGTACGAATAGGCGGCAGTCCAAGTGCCGAATATTAGAGGTGTTACTAGAGAGTCTCAGTCTAAGACAGCAACACACAAAGAAAAGAAGGAGGAGATACAAAAACTAGAGGTGGTATTTGACAGGATAAAAGGTGCAAACCTCACCAGAGCAGAAGAAAGAAGGAAAAAAATACAAAAGGAACAGTCAATCCACTTTAAAAAATACCATCCGCCCTTTACATCAGAGCATTAATGTCAAGGTGCTTCATCGACTTCCCTCCCTTAAACCCCCCTTTTTAGATGGGTTGCACCTTGCTCTTGCTTGTTTGTTTGTCTTTTGTTTGAGAAAAGAGACGCACATCGACACAATAATTGACATGC